GCTAGATATCAAGATAATCAGAACAACACCCATATCATCCCCAAATGAATATTCCAACCATACACTGAAGGAGGTGCTGGCCTCGAAGGAAGTTAACTAGGTTGATGGAGCTTCCATCCTGGAAACAACAAAGAAGTCATCATTTCCGCTGATTTATGAGAGGAAACCACAACTACCAATACACTGCAAAACTTGGCCACTCCATCAAGAGTGGAATAATGACGGGACTGTGAACGGAACACAAAGACGCCTTCAGGAATGTGAGGCGTAAACATAGGATGCCATTGAATGAGAACAGGAGGGAGAAAAGATATGAGCTTAGCAAAAGATATGAGCCCAGTGTTACTCTCACTCAAAGGGATGGTGGAGATTCAGTTTATTGTTGACAGTGAGGCTTTCAGACAAGTAGATAGTGATATTGATGGAATCTCTCCACTCAGTCTGAAATCTGAAAATTATCCAGTGAGAAAATGGTAGTTCTACAAATTTTGTAGAGAAGAGTATACGCGAAAGGAACGCGAAAATCAGAATGAGTTCGAAATCACCACATTCATCTACTGTGTTTACCAGTGAATAACATACCGTCGTCTCATATATATACACCCCTTCCTACTCTTCCTCACCTGACAAACTTCACAGCATTCGTCACCGTCTGTTGATTATCACTATAACTATTTTGAACATTTGATGAGCTATTCCATATTAAAAACACAGTTTTTCTTCAGCGAAGAAATTTCTTTTCAACGACTTCATTTTCAAGCTGTACAGTCGTATTTATATTACAGAAAAAGTTTATTAGGCGGCACTAAATAATTGCTCAGTCAATGTACGTATATATGTGATAAAAGTTATAAGGGGTAGAGTTGAAGTGGATAAATTACAAAAAAATTAAAGATTGTTCTATAACAAAAATGTCAAGTGTTATCTAAAAATTTTAAAAAATTAGGAGTACGATTACGATAAGAATGAAGATGTGAAGTGAAGTGGAAAGAATTCAAGTGGTAAAATAAAATAAAAACTAGAAAATTAAAACAATTAGTCCCTTTGATAAATTTGAACAAGGCATTAAGAAGACAAATTTCGCGAGATGATATCATTTCGTAGTTTCTTTACAACCGCTTTACAACTAACATGGTTAACAATGATAAAATAAAGTTCATGAAAATTACTCAGTTAAATAAAAACAAAAGTACATACTAATGACCAATCATATTAAGATAGGTCATGCAGTCCAGGGTAGGCGAAGATTGAAGTCTATTGATTTTTGTACACACAGTTTAGGCTGTATGTGATTAATCCAAAGTGCTTCCATCACCTTCAATAACCTTGAATTAGAGTTATGTGAAATAATTGTGAAACAGTCATTAATATTTATTTTGTGACCAGACATTAATAAGTGTTTTGCAATGGATGATGCTGGATTTCTATTAAGATTAATCGCGTTAGGATTTTCGATATGATTTACTAGCCATTTTGGAATATGTTCTTTTCGACGACATTGGAACATTCTGTTAGTTCTACCTATATAGGTGTCACCGCAGCTGCAGGTGAACTTGTAGATACAGTTTGAAGTAGAGTCCACAGAATTTCGTCCTTTAATCGTAGGAACAGGGATCGAAAATGTTCGGCAAGTGAGAAAAAGAGATGCGGCGTAGAATGTGCGTTTGATGGCTGATCGAAGTCTTTGAGTTGTCAACTGCATAATCTGGTCGCCCTTGAATGGTAGATTAATAAAGATGGCTTTCTTTGGTACAGAAGCTGTCTTTTCGAGATGTGGTTTTTCTTTGCTGTGACAAGTGATAAAGCTCTCCGGATAACCATTAGCTAATAAAACTGAATGTACATGTCGAAGCTCATCCATCAGTGTGTCACTCGTGCATATTTTTCGGGCCCTTGAGAACAAACATTTCACTAGGGAACGTTTATACTGGATAGGAACAAAACTGGTAAAATGAAGATATTGTCCAGTCCATGTTTGTTTACGAAAAATAGAGCGCTGAATCGTTCCATCATTTCTCCTAATCATAGTAATATCCAGGAAACCGAGTTTGTTATTCGATTCTAGTTCGGAAGTCACTCGAATATTTGGATGAATATGATTAAATAGAGTAATGAAGTTTTCAATAGATTCACTATTATTACCAATAATAAGAGTATCATCAACATAACGTTTATACAGCATAAATCCTCCAAGCATACCTTGCATTTGTTTCTCTAATTTCGACATAAATATATCTGCTAACAGGGGCCCCAGAGGGCTCCCCATCGCAACACCATCGATTTGTTTATATGCCTTTTCTTGGAATGTGAATCTAATATTTTCTGTACACATTAAGATTATGTCTTTGATGTAAGTGACGGGAATGGGTAAGTTTATGCCGTTGCTTGTGATGTAATCGCAAATAAAATTGTAAAGCGGTTGTAAGAAACTACGAAATGATATCATCTCGCGAAATTTGTCTTCTTAATGCCTTGTTCAAAAACTAGAAAGAAAATTATTATGACCAAGGTAAAGAAAGGGGTTTGACAAAACGCTTTTGAACACATAATTTAGGTTTCTGTTCATGTATAGCTAAAGCTTCGGCTAGCTATGCATAAGTGAAGAAAACGTAAACTTTTGGATCGATTCGATTTTGCCGTGTATATAACTTTGAAAGATGAATCCCGTGGGGCTAAATGACTAGACTCTAACATATTAGTTTGTTTATTAGATGTATCACACAGTGAAACAGTATTATAACATATTGGATGACGTTTCAGTGAAAATAGGATTGGTGAAATATTTAAATGACAGAGCACAAAAACTAAGTAGTACCAAGGAAAATCTAAGACAGGAAGTGATACACATAAAAGAAGCCTTGAAACTTAATAATTATCCGGATAAATTAATCAGGAAATATGTAGGGAAATTTAAAAATAAAATAAATAATGATAGTAGCGATAGTGATAATAATAATAATAATAATAATAATAATAATAATAATGACGACAACAACAATAAGGAATCTAAATCATCAGTAGTAGTTCCAAACGAGGAAGGAACCTCGGAAACCACCTTACGCAGAATTCTTAACAAGGCAGGCAGGAATAAAAGTGGCTGGCATTCAAACCAACCACAAACTCAATTAGAAACAAGCTTGTCGTTAAAGGATCAATCCTGTGGAGACTTTAAAACAAAACAATTTAGTTTATCTAATATCCTGCTTGAAATGGTTGTCAGGTCAAATAGATAGGTGAAACTAGTTGAACAGGGGCAGTCAGACTAGCCGAGCATAAAAACCTAAAAGCAAAATCTAGATAAGAAATCTAGAGAGTAGTTCAGCCGTAGATAGCAGTCACTATATGCAATTACACACAACCATACAACAGGATGGGATAGGATTACAGTTTTAAAATCTTATGTAACAGGATGTAGGGAGAGATTGACGGAAGCTTTGTTTATCGGATCAACTGAATAAAAATACATGTAATAGGAATGATTCAACACCTGCCCACTCGGATATCTGGAAAATTCTACTACCTCAACGATGACAAACAGGAGAGGACAAAGAAAACAATTATAAAACTCAAGTTTCAAAGTCGTGTGATTATAATTTGATGGCATGATTATGAACAATAATGAATTGTGTTCGATACCTTGTCATCCAGTGAAACAATAATACTTGTCGTCATATAATCCCTACATTTCGTTATCACCTTCGTGAGTTGAACTTATATTCGATTTACTCCATTTGTTTTCCTATATTTTTGTAGTAATCACATCGCTGAATACTACTCACCCATGAAATGTACCTATCTGTGGATAAGAAATGCACAGTCGGATCAGTTTATTTCTTCTTTTTTTTCAATCTCACTGTATCTCATATTCTAAAGGAGTGCATATTTCAACTGCACTAGAATGACAATTCGATTAAGTGACAGTCTGTTTTGTACTTCTGGCTCACCCAACACAATATCTGTTTGAATTCCAGCTTGTCTGAACTAACGTTTATGTTCTCACATTCATGAGATCTTCCTGTGGATTCTGATGAAAAAATTTATCGATAAGAGTGAAATTAACATAAATGATTCCTTTTCTATATTTTGGTTTGTAAGGGTTAGTTATGCTTTCACGAGTTGCTCGCTAGTCACTTGCTATAAGATGGAGTTTCCTGGAGTAAGTTCTAGTGATAAGTCGTGACCAGTGAGGTCCATCCAGATATCACGTGTGTGGATGGATGTTCCACCAACGACAATGGTTGGGGTCTCGCTAAATCGCGAATTGGTAGAAGTTCGAATCCATGAGCCATTGAATCGGGTCAGATACCAGTGGCTGAATGGTATACTAGCTCGTTAGCCTTGTAACCGGAAGGTCCTGGGTTCGAACCCCCCTGTGTTGTGTGTGCGTACTGGAGATGATTTGCAAACTAGGATGAGCTAGCTGTCCAGTACTCCTTAATGGTTTTCACTGGTTCTCTAACTGATATCAATACGTGATCAACTCATATAAACGATTCCTGCCAAGATTATGTCCGAATGTGTGTTGATTGAGCAGCATTGAACTGCAAGGGATACAATATTCAGCTTCAGTTTTAAGATGAGTAAGGCTAATTCAAATCTTTGTAAAGCTGGATGACTGACTTTTCAACTCTGTGGTGTCTTCCATGGTGTATCACACACACACACACACACACACACACACACACACACACACAAGTGTGCTTGTGGATACCATGTGGACGTCATCCCATAAATTATTCTTACTATTTGGATTAAAAAGTTTTTGCATATGGACGGATTTTAGACCACCTATCAGATTCCACCGATTTATGATATCCGTCGCCTGACATCATGAGGCATTGTTTCACTCACCAATCACAACACTTACACTATTCCACAAATAAAAACGTTGAAATTATGATTATTGTAATCAACCAATGATCAGATGACAAAAATTAATTGTGACTGCTTGTTGTGGTATAAATATAAGCGGATGGAAAGTCATTTACCATAAAAGAAGAAGATGGTCTACTTTGCATACAACCACCAGGTGGCTTTCGTTGCTCTCTTGGCATTTGCAGCCATAAATTCAGGTAAGCATTTTATTTTTCTTAAAAAAGATGGTTGGTATATTTGTGGCTTAATTCTTATGAAATGTTCGCCTTATTCACTAACACTGTAGAATATTTCGCTAGTTACTATCATAGGTCTCATTCTTGTTAGTTGAGCTTTTACTCCGGAATAGTCACTTGCTGTAAATGATTTCGCCTCATCATCATTCTCATCTTGGTTAACAGATAGATGTTGACCAACAGTGCAGAGTTGTACTCGTCAAGGCGTCTCTCCTTTTAATTCTGATTCACAAATTGTGTGTCTATTCACAGTGTTGCACAATGACATGTTCTCTCATTCACATAATGTTTTTTGGGGCTAAAACATTTCTAAAATTTTGAGATGATGTGTTTCTGCATTGTATTGCATTGTATTGGCAATACATAAAACGCTCTAGAAGAGTTTGACACATTTCAAGTAGAGAAATTGTTCTAATAATCTTTACATTTCATTTCAAGGCGAATCAACAAATGTCACTGAAATTGGAAAGAGGCTAAAAGAAACTGAAAGTAAGAATGACTGTGATATGTATCCACATATATATATTTATGTGTGTGTGCATGTTGGTCTCTCTTTCTGTTTGCTCGGTTAGTCTGTGACCACTTCACTTGTATGGACTTGTCTCCTTTAATAATGTGTATTCTCCTTATATTATATTATATATAATATGAGTGTTTGTTGACAGTCCGTTGCTTGGTGACATATATCCATATATGTTTGTTGGCATGTCTGCTATATTCGCTATGTATAATTGGATCGACACTCCATTATAATTAGCCATTCATGTTAAGACTGTCTAATGATTTTTCCCACGCTTTGTCTGAATTATTTATATATATTCGCATTCTCAATTTGTGTGGACTACTTTACTTTACAACTACTTTACTTACTTACCACTTTGATGTGAGACCATTTATTTTCGTCTCCTTGTGTTTGGACAATAGAAGTATCATCGCAAACCTAGTGGTCTTCTGATTTCCGCCTTCTCGCGTCAGGACTATTAGTTTCTCGACCAGACCATAACAATAATTTAGCGACGAGTACATAACAATTTGGCGACGGGGAAAACTAGTACATAACAGACTGACATGCGTATTATTTAACTATATATTAATCGACTTAAGAATTTATCATGAAAATAATTTAAGAATGACGAAAGTTTTACAATGATTGTTGTAGGCATTGTCTTCTTCGACCACCCCGGTAAATTGATACAATATCATTCAAGACAGTGTGGAGAATGATCAGCATAAAAGCAGTGCAGTAGTGATTCTATTATCAAAGTGTACTGAATGGCTTAAGTGAATGCGACATTCTTTCACACATTTTTAATGAAACTATTTTCATACCAATTCATACCAAAATATTCTCATTTCCTTACAGATAAAATATTCGAACTAAGTAATGTACTGAAAAATGGAGAACCGGGTGTAGAACTCTTAATGGGTAAGTAAAACATAATGCCTTATTTTTGACAATGTCTTTAGAATTGACGAAAATATGCCTTGAAGCATATACTTTCAAAATTATCACTATGATGACATCAATGCACATCCAATGTGTGTTATCCGACTCTTTTTTTCCCTTCACATTTCTCAGTGGAACATAGGGAGGGCTTCACTGAAGCTAGTGGCTTGAAGACTGTGTAGCAGTGTTTGCTTTCCAGGATCGGGAGTTGCTAGCCAGCCTCATACCCAACCTTTCCTTTTTACCAGCATTATTTCTAGTTTAGCGAGGTAAAGGAGTGCGTCCAGTGGCCGCAGGATTGAACCCCGGACCATGCGCATAGCATAGCATATCTAATAGGTAAACAGAGAATAACAGGCTTAAAATACACGTCTCTACTCTATAAGTTGTAAACTTTTAACCCTTTTCACTTTTCTTTACTTTGGTTTTTCCCAGACGAGATTCTAAATAGGAATGCCAGCTTATACGAAGAAATTGAAAAGCGTAAGCAAGTTGAATTTATTGCAGTGATGAACGATCTATTTTTAGATATGAATTGCCTGAAAACTGCATACGTATACGAGTACGGAGAGACAGCATTTAACGGTGAGTTCTATCAGAAATACTCATCAGCTGCAAACTACCTGAAATTACAATGGTTATAAATAATAACATTTCGTACTTCACTGTTTGAAAGGCAATAGAGAAAACATTATAAGGTGAACGCATCTGGAATTAGATACCATGTGTGTGGATGGATGTCCCACAAACGACAATGGTTGAGGTCGCGCCAAATCACAAATTAGTAGAAGTTAGAATTCATGGATTGGCCATTGAATCGGGTCAAGTGCCAGTCGCTGAATGGTCTACGAGCTCGCCAGCCTTGTAACCGGAAAGTCGCGGGTTCGAATCCTGTTGGTGGGTGCGTACTGCCGATGATTCCCAAACTACGATGAAACATCCGCTGTCCAGTACTCACTGGTTTTCTATGGTTCTCTAACTGATATCAATCCGTGATCAACTCGTAAAAACATAACTAATCCTTATAAAACCAAACTACAGAATATATTTGGTTCCCTTGATAAATTTCAATGGAGAAAGAAAGACAAAATATACAGTATAATTTAATGATATCATCAGTCTATTTCACAGGTCCTCATCAGCTGCACACCACTACCTGAAATTACAATGGTTATAAATAATAACATTTCATACTTCATTGTTTCAAAGATAATAGAGAAAACATTACAAGGTGAAAGCATCTGGAATATAAGTATTACAATCTAGGTCACCATCAATTTATATACTGTCAAACTATGAAAAAAGAAAAAAAGGGGGGCGTAAGAGAAGACAGAAAACAGGAAAATCTAATAAACAGTGTCAACATGGCAACCCAAGAAGGTCAAAGTTCATCAAAAGTTGAAAACTTGCTTAGTGAGTTGAGCTCACTAGTGTGTATGACTAATCAGTGTAATGAAAGTGATGTGGTTACCAAGGGAGTGAGAGATTGACCACACTGTCTCTTTCTGTATGCATAAGTTTGGTCTGTGACGTTTGATTGCAATTGCTTCAGCAGTAAATCGTAGTAGATTCGCTGTCCTTTTAGTCTGCAGCTGATGAGAACCTGTGAAACAGAATGATGATATCATTAAATTATACTGCAAATCTGGTCTTTCTTTCTCTATCAAAATATAATTTTATTCACCAAAATTTGTTCACCACATTGAGTCATCATCTAATAAATCTTCTGAATTCATTCTCGTTGTGATACACTTACAGTTGATGATATGCTCTCTGTGTGTGTGTGTGTGTCTCTCTCCCTTCTTGATCATTTCAATAATTAACGCGCGTATTCAACTTTGGCTTGATGAATGTTTGATCATAGCAACTGTTAAATATACCCAGTCTCTTGATGTTTTTCATAGAGATTTTAATTCGTCTGAAAAGTGGTAAGCTAAATATTTTGAATCATTTCTATACTTATCTACCATCATTAATTATTTCTTGTCAATATTCCTGGCTAACAAATAATCTTCTCGCCTGGCTTACATATATTCACGCGTTACCATCTCAAGTGTGATTATTTCATTCCTGACTTTTATTTGCTAATGTCGAATACAGATGGAGAATTTCTTTGTGCACCGATGAAGATGAGGAAGGAAGTGATTGACAACAGATATTTTACTTGCTGTGGTGTTTGATCATTTCGTATATTCATTGACAAATCAGTGATTGTGTTTGCAGTTTACATGTATACGTGTGTAAACGTATTAGATAGAAAACAATTGGGAATGGTTTGATCTGTGTGAAACTCATTTATTTACAGAAGGTGGCGAGAATTTAAACCATACAATACATTGTTGCCAACATGAAGCCTCAGTATATCGGAGTAAGTAGAATTTTATTAGGCTAATCAGTCTGGATTACTTCGTCTGTGTGTGTGTGTGTGAAGTAACGATTTTCGAAATGTCAGTCTCCGCAAATCTATTGCAAATTTGCGTGAATAATAATCAAACTGTTTCTCTACTCTTACTTACCGATAAATAGAAAAGAAGGAGGCGTTCCCTGCGGACATATGTCATCAACATATATCTCCAGAAAATAAAAAAAGTATTCTTCGTTTGTTCCTTTTTACTATTATTATTATTTTATGATGAAATGAATAGAAACATTTTCATATACACCCAAAATGAAGGTTATATTTTCACATGTGATAATACTTTCATAATGATTTGAATTCATGAACATCTACTTCGTATTGTACGATAGTCTATGATGAGGATTCTCCAAGAGTCAAAAATTAATGTATGAAGGAGGATGAACGATGAGTTTAGGATCTGTTTAGGATGCTGTCAGTCATCTACAAATGAAAATGTTCAGGTGGTGTGAATGGAAGACAATCTTATGAACATGCAACTGAATGGTGACATGATGATTGCAGTTTGAACATTGTACAATGTTAAAATTATTATACAAATGGATTAAACGAGTTTGTACAATGAGTGGTCAACTGCTCGAATCTGTGCGTGTAACAGATTACTTTGCATCATTTTATGTCACATAATTTTGTGTTCAAATCTTATAATTTTTTATTCTAAGAATTCCACTTTATAAGATATTCATTCCTTCATGAACTGTTTCAGATTCGGATCTACTGGTTGATCAAACAAGCCTCATGTTCCTTGTTAAACAATGGCTTGCTGTTAATTTTTGTGAGTTCATTTTCTCCCGTATGATTAGATTTCACAGTTGGAGGGTGTAAAGACAGTGATGTGATTGTGCAAACAGTCAGTGCTTATCTAATGCTAATTATCAGACAAACTCACTGGTCGTCAACAATCCCTTCTCTCTGATCAATTCAAATATTTTCTAATCTCTTCTTTCATTTCTAGTTTTCAAGAACCTGTACACAACACAGTTGATGATGTTGACAGGTGAGATATAATATTTCGCATCATCAACTTCCACTTTCAATCCTACGAAATTGACACTACGAGGATAATGTCTGTTAGTGGAGTTCTGGTCAAAATCTTCAAGATACGAAATGTGAGACAGTCTGGACTGAGGATGATGAGTAGGCAAATTACAACACAGGATTAAGATATACACTGCAACAGTTAGATGATATTTTTTTTTCACCGTCGACTATTCTCTCACCATACAGCACAAATATAGGTGAATGACTGTGTGTGTGGATTCAATGCGAATCTCGAATACGCTTGTTTAATCGAATGGTGAAAGCATTATCAGTGACGGTGTAAGTTTCCGTGCGGAAATCTCCCAATGAATAGTATCATGGCACTTCTAAATAGATGGTATCATGAATGTATGAGAATACAAGTGCCCATTGCATAGGCGTCACTGAGGCTGAGCAAGCCAGCCAGTGAAATCCATACTACCCGTAGTGAATTATTGAAATGTAGCAACTCATGTAACCGGTCAAATGATGAAAACTTAAGTTATCACTCATTGAAAATATTCAGAATTCTCGAATTCTATGAATAAGCACACATTGTAGGAACAATCACCCTCCTCTCTGGCTTACGTATTTCTTGATTATTTCACCACTTACATATTTCATCCAATAATATCACCAACTGATTTTATTCTCATACAGGAAATTGAAGAGAAGTAACAGTATGAATGTCAGAGTCAGCGTACTACTGAGTACATATGGATTGTTGAAGCTTTCGTAAATATTAATTTTATTTTTAATTATAATTAAATAAATCAATTTTCTGTTTTACCACTCTGTCTTCATGAATTGAAACTTTATTCATCTGCTGCCTATGGTCAAGTGTATCGTTAATATTTGAATCCGCGATAGAATATTATGTAGTGGGCTGTTGTCGTCATCGACATGGATGTGTTGATGTAAGATTGGTCATCAGGTGGCTGTTATTAGAATGGGTCTCTTCTTCAGTAAAGTGTGCTTGAGATAACTTCTAAGAGGAAACGGGTGTTTTTATATGGCATAAATTGTCCAATGTATGTCATAAACGCACATGAGTTATATGGTAGATACAATCGGATCTACTATTTTATTGGTAAACAGAAGTTGAAATATCTATACAGAGTATAAGTGAATTCAATTCGAATATAGTTCAAGCCATTCCTCAGGTGGACGAGGAGGAGGTGATCACGGATAACACGAACTAAATGCACGAAAAGGAAACGCCATTCATTTCATAAGGAATAAGTGGCTAGATGTTAGGCATCAATACCAGTAACTAATATAGTTAAAACAGAATTGAATACAGACACATGGAATGTCATGGAGATGTGCTGATATGTCTACAGAATAAGCATTCAGAAACAGATATTGTAAAGACCGAAGCTAAATCATTACGGTATGAACGAAGAGAACCGTCCATTTTCTCTGTACGGAACTTCCTAGAAAGACAGAAAGTAGAAAACCGCTCGAAAGAAAGGCCAAAAGAGGCAATATGGTCGAAGAATATACCTGGTCCCATTCAGTAAAAATAAGACTCATATAAAAAAAAGAGATCAACAGGAAGCAATATATGTAGATGCCGAAAAATTCATGAAAAAATAAATAATAACGATGAAAATTCAATAAATTCAAAAAAATGTCGATAGATAGACATATAGAAAGACAGACAATTAGACACATAGACAAACAGAGAGACAGACAGAGAGAGAGAGATAGACAGACAGACAGAGAGACAGACAGACAGACAGACAGACAGATAGACAGACAGACAGACAGACAGACAGACAGACAGACAGACAGACAGACAGACAGACAGACAGACAGACAGACAGACAGACAGACAGACAGATAGATAGATAGATAGATAGATAGATAGATAGATAGATAGATAGATAGATAGATAGATAGATAGATAGATAGATAGATAGATAGATAGATAGATAGATAGATAGATAGATAGATAGATAGATAGATAGATAGATAGATAGATAGATAGATAGATAGATAGATAGATAGATAGATAGATAGATAGATAGATAGATAGATAGATAGATAGATAGATAGATAGATAGATAGATAGATAGATAGATAGATAGATAGATAGATAGATAGATAGATAGATAGATAGATAGATAGATAGATAGATAGATAGATAGATAGATAGATAGATAGATAGATAGATAGATAGATAGATAGATAGATAGATAGATAGATAGATAGATAGATAGATAGATAGATAGATAGATAGATAGATAGATAGATAGATAGATAGATAGATAGATAGATAGATAGATAGATAGATAGATAGATAGATAGATAGATAGATAGATAGATAGATAGATAGATAGATAGATAGATAGATAGATAGATAGATAGATAGATAGATAGATAGATAGATAGATAGATAGATAGATAGATAGATAGATAGATAGATAGATAGATAGATAGATAGATAGATAGATAGATAGATAGATAGATAGATAGATAGATAGATAGATAGATAGATAGATAGATAGATAGATAGATAGATAGATAGATAGATAGATAGATAGATAGATAGATAGATAGATAGATAGATAGATAGATAGATAGATAGATAGATAGATAGATAGATAGATAGATAGATAGATAGATAGATAGATAGATAGATAGATAGATAGATAGATAGATAGATAGATAGATAGATAGATAGATAGATAGATAGATAGATAGATAGATAGATAGATAGATAGATAGATAGATAGATAGATAGATAGATAGATAGATAGATAGATAGATAGATAGATAGATAGATAGATAGATAGATAGATAGATAGATAGATAGATAGATAGATAGATAGATAGATAGATAGATAGATAGATAGATAGATTGTTAAATAGATCTACGACATATAAATATCTATTAAAAATGATTCTAACGGACTCCCCATGGCATCACCATCAACTTGGCGGGTACAGTTGCCTTCAAATGTAAACCTGACATTGTTAGTACACAGAAGCAAGAAATCCCTCAATAGTAAGATATAGGGAACGGGGTGAAAAATTGTTTGTGGAAATGTAATCACACAAAATATTAACTGTTTTGGTCAAAGGCACATTTGTACATAGCGAGTTTACATCAAAAGAATACATGTTCTTGCTCATAATATTAATATTACTATCGTCAAGCTCATCAATCAATTCAAATGTATCTTTTAACACATACTTACAGAATTGTGTTTTGACTGAATTCAATAATTCTACTAACCAGCATTTAGCAAGTTTTTGCGTTGGGGATTTGCACAAGTGCATTACACGATTTAGACAAATTACGTCTTCTTATTGCTTCGTCTAAATTCATAAAGGGAACTAAATATTTTAGATTTTTAAAGAGAAGGCTCCTTCCACACACTATCAAAAGTTTAGATGAATTTGTTAACCTTAGGTGGAGAATTATCATCGAACTTAACACGTTCGAATTTTATGAATTATGTATTAAAAATCATTCCTTCCCTAGGCAAGTTTATAAAACTTTGAAATTCAGTAAATTACAACCAAATATTGAATTGAATTTTTGATTTTCCCGTCGATTGACTGAACCGAAGTGTTCAGTCTCAGGTTGATATGTCGG